CGACTGAAGATGTTGGGACGACGGCCATTGATCAAGCACAGGCGCTTGTCAATGGTATGCGAGGAGACCCAGATGAAATGCCTGGAATGCTGAGACAATTACAGCCCCGCCTAGAAGGGAGACTGCGATCGAGCGTCTCGACTGTTGCGGACCCCAAAGACTTGGCTCGAAAGCCGTGTTTTCAAAAGCTTCTGAGACAAGCGTTCGACGACCGAAGGGCGTGCAACGCAAGCTGCCGTATCGTCCCGAGGGTTTGTACCTTGGGGCTTAGATCTGTATGACGTTCATGCGTTGAGGCTTGCAGGTCGCGGGCTGATGGCGCGTAGCGATCCGGGGAAGACAGGTACAAGATGGTTGTACAGCTGAGACAGGCGGATGGTGGGGAATCCTGCAAAAGATGTCGAAGAAAAGGAATATATCCACGAGGAGCGAGGGAGGAGAAGAAATTCGGTCTGAAACGAGTGACGACCTGTTGATAATGCTGACTCTGACAGGACTCGAAGAAAACGTGGGAAGTCGACGCCTAGTCTGGAGTAGGAGTGGGAAGGGAGAAATGGGCAGGTGAGAGGGAGCGGACGACGGAATTCACATCCACCCCCTCGGAGAACACAACTGGGAGGTGCCCATCCTGCCAACCCATCCAGTCCAGCTCTGGGGCGCGGAAAGACGCTAACGAGCAAAATGGGCAAAAGAAGGGGGGGGCATCGGCGGCCTGGTGGACTGCAGTGCCAATGGTGATGTGCACTGGGGGACGTCTTTTGCTGGAGTTTTTGCCCCTTTCGGGAATGGCGCGAGATGGGCCCGGGGCGAAGACGGGCACCCTGGCTTGGTGACTAGGGCCAGGGGGCGGTAGCACACCTAAGGTAACCGACTGCACAGCGTCCTCGCCGCTTTGCTCTGGCCGTTGTGAGCCACACTTTAGACGAGCCCCATACCGCACACGTACAGTACAGTTTTGTGCAATGCTGCGTGACACTTGTGGGGAAAATGCGCCCACTCCAGTCATCTCAGAGGGCTGTAGCTATCCGTCAAGGACGCCATCGCTGTTGCGGGTTGCAGCGCGTCGCGTGCCATCGCCGTCAATTAGATGGAAAGCAACACGCCGCAGTGTTCTGTACATGCAATTGAAGATTCAACATGAGGCATTGCTTCCAGGTAGTCATCCGCGTGCAATGGCAGCACGAACACGCTGTTCTTTCACAGCAATGCTTCGTCTGTCGAAACAGACCAACAACACTGCTCCATCAAAGTACTGACCACCAGAGCGCAAATATAGATACGTATATGTATCCGCTTGGTCACTGATACTACTATATCCTATATCTATTCCTATCTTCAAATTTGAGTTTGTCTCCCTGATCCCAATGGTCTCCACTTGTTAATGTTTTTTGCAAGTTCCAGGCCCATCGGATCCGATGGTGAGCAGCGGGTAGGCCTTTTTTTTGTGTAACCGTTCTGTCGGTCCTTCGATTCAATTATATACAGAAGAAATGAGTACCCACGTGTGCTTTCCTAGTACAGCGTTTCAGTGCTTAGGATGCCTTCATTGTCCACCTACCATCGCCTCCTTGGCCCTGGCCACCTGGGTGTATCTGTCAGAGCTAATAACAATGATCCTACAGGCCTCACAGCCGAGCTTTCGCCCGTAACAGATTCATCTAAATATTTTGTTATCCCAGTACAGCCCCAGAAGGATTCCAACAAATCTGGTCAAAGGTAGCCAGAAAGGGCAATATCCAGCCGCAGAGCGCGTCTCTGCTTGGGCTAAGATGTACGGCGAGTTCTGTAGGATATAAAGCATTTAAGCTATCGCCTGGATATCCGCCAGTGTTGGAGGAAGTCTGTCCCCAGGCCTATGGCGAACCCGCATGGCGCCTCGCATGAAACCTCGAAACTCTTAAGTCAAGTCAATGTTTTCTCTCAGAGGAGACCGCCCCACGAATGGCAGCTAAGCTGTCCGTTTCTCGATGCAATCGGCACCATGTAAGAAGGAACAAAACCTAAGCACAAAGACCGTCATCCGACACCTCTACCTAGTAAACGCCGGCATACAGACCGTGTCCAACCGATTTGATCTTTCAAAACGATACCCAAAAGGCTCCATGCGCAGGCCCTTACACTGATGTCTTAATCAACGCGGCTCTACGCATCAGGGCCTCCACACCCGCCGTTGGGCCACCGTAACGTTGAAACGGCAGGACGATGCATATCCAGTGGAGACCAAACATTTTATGCACGTATGGCTGGTGGAAGTTATGCATGCCAGGCCAGCCAACCCAATTTCCCCAGTCTGGTTCCTGTCTGATGAGTGGCGTCTCGTCAGCGCGCGGGATTGGCTGCGGCTAGGCAGGGCGAACAGCGAATCCGACGCACAATGCCGTCAACCGACCTGGTCAGCAACCCGGACAATGGAACGTCAAGCTCGTGCCTGTCAGCCAAAGTCAGCCCAGGAACATGGGCGAACAGGCGTAATGCATGGCCGTGAGCGAGCCAAAATTCTTCGCCAAGAAGCAGATATATGTATCCGCAGGCTCGCCGGTCTCTCCACAACACGCACAATGAAGCGCAATTCCACACATGCCAGACGAGACAGGTACAGGCATTGGCATCACACATTTGATATGCCCGTCACAAGGTGTAGCTACAGCAATAGAATATCGCAAATCATTAAGGGTATAAGCTCCTTGAATCGAAAGTTCGCCTCCCTCCACCATCACGACAATAGCCCAACCTGCACCCGTGAAAGAAAAACAATAAAAATGATCAGCAGCCCGACCACGTGAGACCGCCTCCGGTCAAAGAAGACCGTTGGCAGACTCGAATTCATGGAGGCACCGAAACACGATTCCAGCCCTGGCCACAGCCTGTGACCTGCCCATTCACGCCATCCGACCCAGACCTCGAGAGAAACAAGCATGACATGGTCGTGCCAAATAAGCAAAAGAAAGCAACAATATCCCTGATGAAAGACCCATCCATAATCGAGACGGAGAGTGGTGGGGCCAGGCCGACAGGAGCCAAGCCGAAGCGTTGGATTCGCTACCGCGAAACACACAAGTCCGACACTCCAAACGAACAGCCGGAAACCTTTGTACCCTCAGATTCCAACGAGTGTGTGCTACAGCGTAGCAACACACGCCATGACTGCCATGTCGGGTAGGCGCAGTCTTGAGGCCCTGGCCGACTCCGATCTTCTGAAGGTCGTAACAGTTTACCGTGTGTTCTTCGCGCCGAGATCTACCGGCGAATGGCTTAGTATGTTGAAGTTCTCATCAAGGCTTTTTGTTAATGCCAAGCTGAGGCATACCTGGGAAGTGCTCTTTGGCGTATTGCTCGCAGGCCTTGGCCGGCTTGCCGACCTTCTGCCCAATGACCTTCCACTTGTTGCTCTCGTACTCCTTGATGGCGTTGAGGAGAGCTTGGCTCTGGTGACAGTTAGCGATGCGCGGAGCGAGACGTCAGCATGTGCATAACAAACCTCGTCCTCGGCAAACTCGGCGTAGTGCATGTCCTTGTACCAGTGCTTCTTGACACTGCCCTTGGTGCGAGTGGGGAAGGTCTAGAAGTATACACGGTCAGTGCCTGGATGGCAAACTTTACTCGGGTGGACTGTGACAAACCTTGGCAATCTCAGCCCCAGCTGTTGCCGGCATCTCGCATCTTGCTTGAGGCGTGGCTCCTCCGCGGGCGTCCATGGTGTGTTTGTCCTGCTCTTCTTCGCGGGGGGAGGCTGCACGGCGCAGCACCAGCGTCATCGGAGGCGCTGGGGGAGCTGCAGCGGCGGGTGGCACGGGCGCGGTCGCCGGCGCGGGGGCCGGCGTGGGAGA